GATCAAAGCATTTGATTTTATACAGACTTTTGGAGAAGCCTGTATTTACAAGAAAGTGAGTGGGAGCTCTGTAGCATTTCTGATATTATATGTGGATGACATATTACTAATTGGAAATGATATAGAATTTCTGGATAGCATAAAGGGATACTTGAATAAGAGTTTTTCAATGAAAGACCTCGGTGAAGCTGCTTACATATTAGGCATTAAGATCTATAGAGATAGATCAAGACGCTTAATTGGACTTTCACAAACCACATACCTTGACAAAGTTTTGATAAAGGGATCTACATGTGAAGCGGAATACATAGCTGCTTCGGAAGCAGCAAATGAAGGAGTCTGGATGAAGGAGTTCATATCCGATCTAGGTGTCATACCTAGTGCATCGGGTCCAATGCAAATCTTTTGTGACAATACTGGTGCAATTGCCTTGGCAAAGGAATCTAGATTTCACAAGAGAACCAAGCATATCAAGAGACGCTTCAATTCCATCCGGGATCTAGTCCAAGTGGGAGACATAGAGATTTGGAAGATACATACGGATCTGAATGTAGCAGACCCATTGACTAAGCCTTTTCCACGGGCAAAACATGATCAGCACCAAGGCTCCATGGGTGTTAGAATCATTACTGTGTAATCTAGATTATTGACTCTAGTGCAAGTGGGAGACTGAAGGAAATATGCCCTAGAGGCAATAATAAAGTTATTACTTATTTCCTTATATCATGATAAATGTTTATTATTCATGCTAGAATTGTATTAACCGGAAACATAATACATGTGTGAATACATAGACAAACAGAGTGTCACTAGTATGCCTCTACTTGACTAGCTCGTTAATTAAAGATGGTTATGTTTCCTAACCATGGACAAAGAGTTGTTATTTGATTAACGGGATCACATTATTAGGTGAATGATCTGATTGACATGACCCATTCCATTAGCTTAGCACCCGATCGTTTAGTATGTTGCTATTGCTTTCTTCATGACTTATACATGTTCCTATGACTATGAGATTATGCAACTCCCGTTTGCCGGAGGAACACTTTGTGTGCTACCAAACGTCACAACGTAACTGGTTGATTATAAAGGTGCTCTACAGGTGTCTCCAAAGGTACATGTTGGGTTGGCGTATTTCGAGATTAGGATTTGTCACTCCGATTGTCGGAGAGGTATCTCTGGGCCCTCTCGGTAATGCACATCACATAAGCCTTGCAAGCATTGCAACTAATGAGTTAGTTGTGAGATGATGTATTACAGAACGAGTAAAGAGACTTGCCGGTAACGAGATTGAACTAGGTATTGAGATACCGACGATCGAATCTCGGGTAAGTAACATACCGATGACAAAGGGAACAACGTATGTTGTTATGCGGTCTGGCCGATAAAGATCTTCGTAGAATATGTGGGAGCCAATATGAGCATCCAGGTTCCGCTATTGGTTGTTGACCGGAGACGTGTCTCGGTCATGTCTACATTGTTCTCGAACCCTTAGGGTCCGCACGCTTAAGGTTTCGATGACAGTTATATTATGAGTTTATGCATTTTGATGTACCGAAGTTTGTTCGGAGTCCCGGATGTGATCACGGACATGACGAGGAGTCTCGAAATGGTCGAGACATAAAGATTGATATATTGGAAGCCTATATTTGAATATCAGAAGTGTTCCGGGTGAAATCGGGATTTTACCGGAGTACCGGGAGGTTACCGGAACCCCCGGGAGGTATATGGGCCTTAGTGGGCTTTAGTGGAAGAGAGGAGAGGTGGCCAGGGCTGGGCCGCGCGCCCCTCCCTCCTAGTCCGAATAGGACAAGGAGAGGGGGCCGGCCCCCCCTTCCTTCTCTCTCTCCTCTTTCCCCCTCCCGAATCCTATTCCAACTAGGAAAGGGGGGGGGGATCCTATTCCCGGAGGGAGTAGGACTCCTCCTGGCGCGCCCTCTCCTGGCCGGCCGCACCCCCCTTTGATTCTTTATATACGGAGGCAGAGGGCACCCCTAGACACACAAGTTGATCCGCGTGATCATATTCTTAGCCGTGTGCGATGCCCCCTTCCACCATAGTCCTCGATAATATTGTAGCGGTGCTTAGGCGAAGCCCTGCGACGATAGTACATCAAGATCGGCACCACGCCGTCGTGCTGACGGAACTCTTCCCCGACACTTTGCTGGATCGGAGTCCGGGGATCGTCATCGAGCTGAACGTGTGCTAGAACTCGGAGGTGTCGTAGTTTCGGTGCTTGATCGGCCGGGCCGTGAAGACGTACGACTACATCAACCGCGTTGTGCTAACGCTTCCGCTGTCGGTCTACAAGGGTACATAGATGACACTCTCCCCTCTCGTTGCTATGCATCACCATGATCTTGCGTGTGCGTAGGATTTTTTTTTGAAATTACTACGTTCCCTAACAGACGTCGACCAATAACTCGGACGAGCTAGCGAATAGCGATTAGCCAGCACTATTGTTGTCCGCTGCAGCGTCTGCACCGAGGCCGTACTCGCGAGAGATGAGTCCGATGATCGAGATCGAGTAACCAATCGCATCGAGACGGGCGGAGCCACTGACGCAGGCGAGGGCAAGGGTTGATTCAATGGACTCGACCTCGGTGACGCGGCTGACGGCAACGTCTATGCGTGGGTGGTGCTCGAGTGCTAGGAGGGTGGGCGCCGGAGTTACCGGCGTCGGCGCCTAGCTGGCGCGGTGGGGACGTGGTTTGTGAGGGAGGAGGAGGAGAAGTCGGGCCACAGTCGTGGGAGGAGGCGGTCGCGTGGTGGAGGAGGACCGAGATCGAGCTATGAGGGAAGGTTTGGGCGTGGCTGTTGGCTAGTAAGACGAGGGACGGCGGTGACAATTTTTCTCTGGAGAGATATGGGATTGGGAGGAGCGAGGGGGTTGGGCCTTGGGCATGGGACGTGGGTTCCTGATCGTGGCTGCTTTTTTTATTATATCGTGGCTTTTTTTCCTTTATTGTGCGTGGGTAGAGCAGGATTCCGAGGAGGACGGGTGAAGGAAATAAGGCGATTGTGGGATGATTTGAGGTCGAACCATCACGATGTTTGATTCTTCTTTAATAGTAGATTAATGTAGGCTCAGAAGAACCGACTCACGCGCACACACGTACACGAGTCCGAGTCAGTGTCCGACACAACCATCAACTAGCGTAATTAACTTGACTAACCTCCTAGTCCAACACGCGTATAGGAATCTGTTTCCTATTCGGGAGAGAAAGGTGGTAGAAGAATCTATACTACTATTAAACAATCAAACAAGAACTTCTTTAAGCACACCCCACAAAGCGTACACAGATCTAATACCACCGCACGATTAGGCTCACTAAACTCAATCTAACGGTTAGCCTTAATCTAAACCATTTTCTGTGTGCACTTAGCAATTTACATTGACTGACCGTACTCCACCGTGGAGGAAAATATGAAACTCTACGCCTGGGAAATTAGGAAACTAATAATCACGGGTGCATCATATTCTAGGAAACTAAATCAGAGTGCATCCATCCTATTAGGAAACTAATCTCAAACAAATCCATCATACTAAAAAACTTATCTCGGACGCATCCATCCTATTAGGAAGCTAATCGCGAACCTCCTGCCACCATCATGCACATCAGTCGGATTTGTTTTGTTTCATGACAGAGAAACCATATACCGCTATTTTTCCACATATATTTATTCTTATATACTTGTGCAGTTTCAAATGATCCAACATATCTGCACTCATCAAACTTGAAGACATACTGTTTAAGGCCTTATTTGCACCGCCTCTTTTTCTTTGTCTGCGCGCCTCTTTCCTCCAATAATAATAATGAATAACTTTTTCCGGATCAGGTATTACACTGTTATAAATGTTGCTGAAGCTACTCCTTACGACATGGAAAAAGAGGATGCATGCTTTCTATCTTCACCAGTTTTGTAGCATGTTTCAAATTGTTGGCTCTTTCTTATTTGAGGATTCATCATGTTTTTTGTAATTTAGAAGCTGACCTGAAAGCTTGATAAGGTTAAGCTTGACAAATACTCTGGAATACTGTTCCTTCCATTTTTATTTTTCTTCCTAACTCATTTCAGTTTCTGTACGCACAGAGCGTCTTACATCATTGTAATTAGTATGGTTGCCAACGCATAAACATATACAAAACCATATAAATACTTTCTGTCATGATAATTATTGAATTTCTTTTAGCCCTTTTACATTTCAATTAGTTCTTGTAAATCATCTTTATTTTATATAGAAGTCGTTGTAGTCACATATCATCTTCTATTTCCTATTATCCAGAGTAGGTAGCTATATAATTTTGGCAATCCACACAACCAAAAAATATATATAATTTTATCCAAATTAGTACAAGTATATATTTTGCTACGCAGATTAGTAGAATAAAATAAGATTCTAGAATTAAGCATGTTGAACAATATAATTGCATCATAAGTCAGTTTATACGGTTTTTCCTGGCTACACTCAAAGAGAAGACTACACTACAACCCCGCAAAAAAAAGAAGACTACACTACAAGCCTATATTACTGCATTAATAAATAATTGCTGATTTTATTTAAATGAGAATATTTTCCTGCGATTACTCTATGAAGCAACATAACCACTATTGTGTCTTACTTTTGAAAATACAATTTGAGCGACATCAAACATTGTGTATCCATTTGATTTATATTTTTAAAAACAATTTTTTTTATATTATCTGAATCTCACCTGGTTTACGTTTGAGACGTGCGTTGCACGTGCATGCTTACTAGTCAAGTGAAATGAGCCTCGGTATTCGAGATTGATGCTTTTTTTGTGTGCTTAGTTGCAAAGCCCACTAACTATGACCAAGCACAAAAGCCCATTTAGATAGCTGGGGCCGAATGGAGGGTAAGCCCGTGATACGTTGCTACAGCGTGTCAGTGAAACCCATCTCGGGTCCATTCGCATCGTTCTCCCGAAACCCAGCGCCCAACGCCGCCACTCCTCCGCCGCCGCGTAACCGGAGAGATGTCGAGGCTTGCGGCCGCCGCCCTCCGCGGCGCCCTCACCGCCTCTGGGGCGCGCTCGTGCTCGATCTCAGTGGCATTTCCCTCTGCATCCTCTCGTCTCTTCTCAACCGACGCATCCGGCGCCGTAGCGGGATCACAGGACGACTCATCGTCCGGCGAAGGTAGCTCCCGCATCCCTGTGCTGTGATTCTCGTGAACTTGTGGGTATTCTCTCGTATGCTAGTCTGTTTATTCTTCTCCGGCGAGGTCTAGCCGTTTAGGGTTTAATATTCTGTTCCGCTTTAGAAGGAGTGGCGGAATGTAGGATGACGGACCATGTAGTTCATTGAGGTATGGTGGAACTCTGTTCTGACGGAGTTCATATTTTTGTAATCTGTTGCGAGCATCTGAATTTAGGGTGTCAAACGTTTGGAATGCGAATCAGAAATCCTAAAATACGAGATAGTGCTGTAATCTTACTGAGAACATTAGTTGGTTATTCGTGCCGTGTGAAAATCAGTAGTTGTTTTCGATTGAGAGGGATTAGGCCCAGTCCTCCCTTTGATTGTGATTGGAAAGGAGGTATTGGGTTGGATTACAGTGCATACAGACAAGTCTGCAAGGATGACCATTTTATCTCCTTAAGTTATGATCATGATACCGAGTCAATTCAAGGTTCTTATTTGTAGCTTTATGCCTTTTATGATTCCTGTATGTGACTTTCGAGACATTATTTTTTGGATCTTTTTGTTTCTGCTGAAGAGAAGATTGTTTTCACATTCTTGAACTGATGTAAATATCAACTGAAAAGGTCATTTGCCTTTCTCATGTACATTATTATAACTGAGTGGTCCTTCCCATGAGATCTTGAGGATGATTTACTGTTTATCTGCTGTTAGATTGAGTGTTCTTCGTTTGGGGGCTACTCCACTATCCTATTGATACCCGGAGCTAGTTGTACACTATGTGATTTGTACTGTCTTTTTGGCAGTAGTTATGCTGTTTTGCACTATGTGGAATCTTTAGAGTAATTTTTTTTCCATGGTGTAATATCTTTGCAAACTTTGTGATTCTTATATTTGAATACCATCATGGTGTACATTTCAGTAACACTTCTACTGCAACAGGCCATACCTATGGAAGGTTCTACACTAATATTTCTGGTGTCGGCCGTCTTGGCAAGAACATGCTGAAGACTGACATTATCCATTACCTTGACCAATGTGAACTGTCACTGGATGATGTGAAGATTGATTACAACAAGGGGTTTTATCCCATGGGCGCGTACGGTTTATTTTCTGCTCCCTAATTCATCTATGTATCTTGTTTTTACTTGAGCTTTTGGCTGCATATGCATGAGTGGTTTCTTCTAATGTGTATTACTGAAGTCAGTAATGCTCAGGAGTCTACAATTGGGTTTAGCAGCTCCTTTCAAAAGAAATAGCCTTTTAGGATAGCAGTTGACATGTGATCCTTGTTTTGTGGTTAAGGCATGAATATTATCATAAGTATTTAGAAGCCTTGTCTATACTTAATAGACTAACTTGTTTCCAAGTCCTTTCATGATCTTTTCATGCAGTATGCTAAAGTAATTGTTTATTTATGTTCTGTGTGCTAGCATGGCATTCACATTTCACTTTTCTGTGTTGCTCGAAATGCAGGAAACATAGTTTCTTCTTATTAATGTCCCTTCGTGACACTAACCAAGCCAGTCTTAACACACATAACTCATTTCCTCGTATATAAATATCCATCTTTATTAAATGCATGGCATGTCATGTTTAATTGCTCTGTCATTTTAAAATTGTTATGGGTTTGCAGCTAAATATAGTGTTCTCTTACTGATTTATTAATGTGATTATCAATGTGATTTTGATCAGATTATTGAAGTTTCCTTCGGTGGAATCATTTGAGAAAGCAGTCAGGCAAACAATTCAGGGTCGCATGTACAGGCTTGAGAGGGTAAGGCGACACTCTTTTTATCAGTTATCTCATTTGGTATTAGTAATTTCCAGTACACTGATATGTATTTTATTTGGATATAACAGGTGAGTCCTGATGAGTGGGAACACAAGATATCTTTGAATGGAAAAGCTGTAAGTGATAGATTTGCTTTTAAAGTTTGGTATGTGTTACAACTATTGACCATGCAAATCCCAATAAATGCAATAAGGAGAAGAAGCCCTCTTTTTTTTTCTTTCAATTTCCAGTTTAATTGATGCTAATGTTATTGAGATCCATAATGCAGCTATTGATGTTTTCTAGTTGATTTACTTTGTTTTTGCTGTTTGGGTCTATTCAGGTACTGTTGCAAGGAGTCCCTCGAAACGCTCAAGTTGATGACATAGAACGTTTCTTGTGCGGCACTAACTATGAAGCTCCTCCATTTGAAAACTCTATCAGGTAATACTTTTGGGCGGCGGTCCTTGTTAGCCAGGATGTGATTAAGTCCATTCATCCTTGTCTGATTCCACCAATGGCTTGTGCAGAGCTGGGGTCCCCGAGCCTGTAAGAATGGTGCTGGTAAAGTTCGGCTCGAGGACTGATGCAACCAATGCCTTCATTGCTAAAAACAAGGGTTTCTGTCTGAACAATCCTGTTACCATGCGGGTTATTCAGTAATCTATCAGGTCTTATCATGTGTGTGTCACCTCCTTCCAATCAACCTAGGATCTGAAGCCCATCGGCGCATGTGATAGAGATGTGTACGCTCCATTCAACCTGATTTATTATGGGTTTTCTCTGCCACTTTATTGTACCATTTTCGTTGTCAACCTGGACCTTGTGCTCGTGCTTAGGTTGCAGGTTTTCCTGCGACGACAGAAGTAGCTAAACGAGTTAATCTAATAAATGTTAATACACACCACTTTCTTGCTGGCACCATGGTTGTATCATTATGTTGCTTAAGTTGCTGTAGAAAACCAAAAGTTGCAGCCATTGCAGCTGGATTTCTGGTGCGTTTGAACTGCGTATTGCTTAAAAATACACGCATTGTTGGGCTGGGAAAATTTTGAGGTTGTTGCATCATCCATTTGGTTCTAGATGCTGATATCCTGGGCATTAACGTGCGTATGCTGTGCTGAGAAGATATGTGGAGAATGAATGCAAAGAAATATGTTCTTCATTGGCTCTCAGTATTAGTACAACGAACGTTATGAAACGGAAACGACTGGTAATAGTAGGAGCGTCTGTGACTGGCAACAACTTGGCACCCAGGCAAAGGCAATTTGTTGTTTATTCGACGCAACTTATTTGCGTTATAGTACATAGCAATTTATTGCGCTCGCAGCATGCATTGGCGATGCTTCATCAGTCATCAGCCGATCCAAATCCAAGAGAAAACCCTTATATCTGCACGTAAAAACATCAGCACTCCATCAGTAAAACAGCAGATGTCACCATGACTTGTTTAGTCCTGCAAGTAATATTACCTCCATCCCGGATTACTTGGACGGAGGGAGTACTACTACAACTACTTCCTTAACGAGATCGGGGCGAAATCCCTTTATAATCATAAAAAGAACATGTAAAAAAAAATAGTCCTATGATATGACTAAAAAAACACTGGTGGATGAGCAGGTTAAACCTCCTCTCACACCACTAGCATAGTGTACTTTACTTGGTTAAGGCAAGACTTCCATAAACATTTTATGTGATACTACAAAATCATAATTAGTACAACTCTCTTCTTAAATGTAAGATGTTTTGGCAGTTTAATTTAAACTGCCAAAACATCTTATATTAATGAACGGAGGGTGTAGTAAGTACTTTCAAATAAGAGTCGAATGATCTCTATTTGGTGTGCCATGCTAAAACTACATACTAGTAAAAGCATTTCTATCATTCTTAACCAATCAAAATCCTTAGCTTGTATGTCTGGACTGAGCTGGTATTTCAGGCGTGAGATCATCATCTTTATAGCATTGACACATAGTTAATCGTTGCTAGAACGCCTTACCCCGAGCTTCTTCTTTGTGAGAGCAAGCAGTTCTTGAGGGTCGTGCTTGGTCTGCGCATACGCCGCAATTCCATTCATTTCCTACACATGTTTCCAGTTCTCATGAGTAAGTTCCTATACATAGACACTCAAAGATGCGAAAATTACATATGGAGCTGGGGCTCCATGGAGCTCTTAATTCAAAAAACAATTTTTGAAGTTTAAAAAGTTTCAGGAAAAATACACATGTACGCGGAGATGTACTCTACATGTTTGTACATATTCATCAAATGTGTCAAAGATTTGAGCTACCAAAAAAGAATGAAAATTGTTGATTTTTAGCACATGCATTATTCACTATCAAATCCATGATTTTTTTGAAGCTCACATCTTAACGTATTTCATCATGAAAATTTAAAAACATGTAAGACTACATCCCTATGTGCGTCAAAACGGTACACTCCTGAAAGATGTCGTGTTCTTGCTACCTTGATGAATCTCTGCATGTTAGGCCTTCCTGCCGTGGTATCGTAGTTCTTTATGTTGGCAAAGAATACTTGGAATCCATCAACAAATGGTGCATATGCGATGTCCACCTGTTTCCAGTTCCAAACGACGTTAGTTCTTTAAATTGCCAAATTCTAGCTGATATAAGGGGCCGAGGATGGTCTGTGCAAAATTACCAGACTGAACTGGCCGAGAAAGAAAGGCCCATCATCAAATTTTGAAAGGGAGGTTTCTATTTTGTCCAGAGCAGCTTCTATTGACCAGCAACGAATCACATGTTAGTAATCAGCATGAATATATATTTACAGTTGAATTTCGACGAGTGTTCTTAGCTCTTGCCAGCATCAGCAGTCACTGCCCCCTTGGCGGTCAATGCCGACATCATCGCTTGATTGAAGGTGTCTGAATAAGCCAGCAGTTCTTCTGCAAGCCCTTGCTTTTCAGGATCCTAAGGTTCATCAATATTTTTATAAGAATCATGAGGTTGCCAATGACCAATGGGTAGTGCATGCTATTGCAGCCTTTAAAGACAAAATGAACTCACATCAGGACTCAATTTGGGGCCTTCGAAATTGCTGTCTATATACTTGATCAAATCCAAACTCTCTCCTGTCATTTTGTTGTTGTGCTCTAGGCAGGGTACCTTGTCGGGGGGAAAAGGAACATCTTAACACTCGATAAAAGAATGTTAGGAGTACTTTGACAATCTAAATAGGAGACGCCATGTATTTTAGTCTAGCCATACCTGATTCTTGGGGTAAATCTTTCTGAGCCACGCTGGCCTATCCGCCAAATCGATGGGGACAAGCAAGATCTTGTGCTGCAAACCCTGGTACCGTAAACAAATCGAATTACAAAAATCACAACATGGAGTGAACCTAACCAAAGAAGACAACTCATCTGGAGAGAAACAGAGCATCGATCATCGGAAGATGAGCTCGATCGGTTGGTACCTTGCAGTTCCTCGCGATCCATGCTCGCTGCGCATATGGGCAAACGTACGCCATGTACAACCTGTAATCCCAGCTTCTCACACATGAGCACAGAGATATGTCAAAACGAACATGAACATGTAGATATCGGTGCCCGCAAAGAGGAACATGCAGAGATGTTGAGTGAGCTTAGGGTGCTACATGTTTGAGGAAAGGAAGTTTCGGAGAAGAAAGCAAAGTAGTACGTACTCCCTCCGTTCGGAATTACTTGTCTCGGAAATGGATGTATCTAAAACTAAAATACGTCTAGATACATCTATTTCTGCGACAAGTAATTCTGAACGGAGGGAGTAGTAAGCAGACGACCTGGTTGCGCCATCGTAGAGAGGTGGCTGCTGGCAAGCGGGTGTCAAGGTAGGCGGGAGAGCTTCCCCTGCAAACCTACAGATTTTTCATAGACCGATCAGCGAGCAAGCGATCATGGAGTAGAAAATCCATCTAGTGATCACGCGCGGCAGCAGAGTAATTTTAAGCAGGGAAGGAACTTTGCAGTACTTGCTTGCTGGAGACGCTGCCATTGCGACCTGCAGCTAGTGATCAAGGAGCTCGAGACGCACAAAATGTACTAGTATACATTTTTGTAAGCGTATATAAAGCACTTCCACTGTGCGGACTGGTAAACGGAAGTAGGGCTGATGGAGAAGTACGAAGAAAACTTTGAGGGAGCACAGACGTCAGCTGTGACGGCCGAGCTAGCGTGGAAGAAGAAGAAGAAGAAGAAGCGAGCGGTAATGGCTGAAGCCATGTCACGGCGGTTGGTGCCACGATATAGGCTGCACATTCGCCGGAGACAATTAGTCGGCATCGTACTATCGGATGGTTGAAAACATGCCGAGGACACTGACTTTAACTCGTTTGGACAGTGACTTTGGTCCGCAGCTCTTCGTTATCTCCCTGGAGCTCGTTGAACGTACACGCCAAGCATTTCACATTTCAATTCGGAGCCTCGTACGGGGAAGAAACTACGAGGTACCGACATAGAGCGATTAGGACAGGTTCGTGGCATCACCATTATCAGATATGAACTGATTAAGTACGCATTCCCACCACGCCCGAGCGAACGCATGAATGATGAATCTGTATGTAGTCGATACTGCTAGCAACCCCTTAATATGTATGATCAGCACACGTGTGGTGTGGACAACTAAAATTGATAGGAGTAAGAAAGGAGCACCGGTTCATTAAGAAAAGTTCACGAGCATTCAGCACAACTCAGAATGATCATCCTTTACGAGACAATAAAAGTTTACAATAAGACCCAGTTTGTCTGTTTATTCTCTATATAAAAGCATGGCCTATATGCATGGCATGCATCTTTTATTCAAAATATATTGCAACACCCCCGAGTCTAAATCTGCTATTCTGCAGCGATTCCCTGGCATGCATATTTGGTTATCCTTGGTCACATCTTCAAGCAATCTGAAAAGTTAAAATTAGCGTGTAAGTTTTTATCGGGATTGGAAGATAACACGAACCGATGCCGAGATATAAGGAAACATCGTACCCCAAACTTCTCCTTCATTTGATCAAGTAGAAACTGTGGGTCCAATTTGGTCTGTGTATATGCGTCGACCTTGTTCACTTCCTGTAACATGCCGAATTGGAGAACTGACATGAGATTGAGTTGCATCAGAGTGTACTAGGGGTATGTTACACTATACAGTCTTGTCAGAACAACTCTTCCAAACAATGTGAATAATCTCATCTAGCATCAACCTGAATTACTTACCTCAATGAATTTGTGCAGGTTGGGCCTTCCCTTGGCAAGATCATCCTTCTTGATACCAGAATAGAATATCTGAAACCTTTCGATGAATGGTACATACGCAATGTCCACCTAAAAAAAATCACAACAAACTACAGTTCTTTTCATAATTCTACCAAATTTGGGCACGGCTAAGGGAAAAGGAAAGGATTCCCAGGTGGAGTGACATACCAAACTGAATTGGTCAAGGAAGAATGGGCCATCGCTGAACTTCCCCAAGGCAGCTTCTATTTTATCCACAGCAGCAGCTAATGGAAGACATGACATGAGTAAATTAAATTATGAGTATAAAATGCAAAAAAAAAATCTCAAACAAATATTGGTGTGCTCCTTTTACCGGCTTCATTTGACACATCTCCCTTGGAGCGTAAGCATGAGAAAAATGCACTATTAAACCCATCGCTGAACGCAAGCAGTTCCTCAGCAAACTGCTTCTTTGCAGAATCCTACCAATTTATATGAACGCAAACTTTAATATCACCGACAAAATTTTGCACCGTTTAACAAACATTGCACATATGAAGACTGATTGGATATATCTGCCTTACATCAGGCAGCAATGCTGGGCCATCAAAATTGCTGTCAATGTACTTGACCAAATCCAAGCTCTCTCCTTTCACCTGGTTGTTATGCTCCAGGGCAGGCACCTGCCAGATTATAAAGGAAGCGTGCATGAATGAACAGAAATGATAAACTGCAGTAAAAGATTCTTCTTGTACATACAGGTGAGAAGTAAAAGAGATCAATCATACTACCTTGTTCTCCGGGTAAACTTTCTCCTTGTACCAAGCTGGCCTGTCCGCCAGATCTATGGCGACTACCTTGATCTTGTCCTGTAAACCCTGGACAAAATAATACAGAAAGAAGATTCAACTTAGCATAGGACCACTGAAGGCATACAAAAAGAACTAGCACGAGCTAACAAGATACAAGACCGCTGAGCTGAAAGTATGGGCTGCGTCTGTGAATCAAAGAACACTCCCACTAGCACTACCTTGCAGTTCCTGGCAATCCAAGCGCGCTGCGCGTACGGACAGTGATATGCAAGATACAGCCTACACCAAGCAAATAAAATACCAAATCACCCCTTGATCTGTGCAGAACTGGAAAGTTGTAATCAAGAATACAAGATACACCTGCAGTGCAATTTGGTTTCTTGCTGTGTGGTTAGATTTTACCTGGTGGTGCCGTCGAAGAGCGGAGGGGGCTCGGAGGCGGAGGTCAGTGGAGGGGGGAGATCTTCCTTCGGGGAGCTGCGCATATGTTAAATTACAGAAAGGCACACGACGTTAGGAAATCGAGTAATTTAGTCGAGATCCGGAACGGCCAGAGCGCCAGGCTACATCACTGCACAAACAAAGATACTGTGCCTTGCTGCTTCGCTCACTCACATGATCGGTGGAACGGCGGTTGCCATGGCGACGGTTCGGGAGGAATGTCCCGGCGGTGCTGGGGGACGGGAAGGTGAGAATGGGAGATCGAGGAGGAGGCAGGCGTCGGCAGTGGTGACGGGCAGCAAGGCAAGGGGAGGCGGGCGAGTGCAATTATTCACGGCAGAGCAGGCATCAGCAGAAATGTAGACCCGGGCAACGTGTTTCACGTGGATGGCATCTGCACGCCGTGCCGTACACTGAGGTGAGGTCCCAGGGAACCGATGCAAGCTGCTGGTAACTGATGAAGCTGCAAAAGGGATTGGTCACCCACTCCCGTGTGGTAGTGTCTACACGGATTACTCAACCTCAACCTTTTTTTACCCGGAAAAAACAAATGTACATATATTTTTTTGCGGGTGAAATAATTGTATTACTCAACTCACCAAGTCCTTACAATTATGAGCAGCTAGCACGACAGACTCATCAGGGCCAGAACCTACCCAAGTCATGGTTCTCCGTTCAGTATGAGCAAAATTAGCTAGACTATCACTAACTCTATTTTGTGAGCGAGCTACATGAGTAATACAACATTCACGAAGATTCATAAAATACCTAATCTCCTTGATAAATGAAGTAAAGATCGATCTATCTGTTTCCTTCGCCTGGATAAGCTTGACTGCAACAATTGAATCCATCTCAATGATAATTGGAGTGGCAAACGAAAGGCTCTCCATGCAAGCACACAATTCCGCTTCGAGTGCATCTCTACAACAAAATAGTTGTATGTGGGAAGAAAAGATAATACATCTCTGAGCACTATACCTGCTCCAGCTAAGCCGTCCTCAACTCCTCATCATATGATCCATCAGTATTTAATTTGACCCAACCAGTTTGAGGCAAAATCCACTTAGCAGGTGTCGGAGACGTAATCACATGTGGTCGAACCAGAAGTTTATCATATGTGACAATTTGCTTCCCTTTATTGGAATCGGGTGATAGGTCCAACTTAAGGTCGATCAACGAATCTAGATAACTAACAAGAAAACGATTGGAGGCTTCCATAGGCGGTGGCGGCTTGTGATGAATGACCTCATTACGGATATGCCACGCTCGCCAAAGTGTCATCAGCACCATACTTTGCCCAATGTCAGAAAGGGGTTCTAAAACATAGAGTAGCCATTCACTTCCATTGTTCTTGATAGAGGCTAGGTTCGGCATAGTCCAAACATTAGACATGGTATTCCATAACTCACGTGATAGAGGGCAGCGGCATAAGGAATGAAAATTGTCCTCCGGTACAGCGGAGCATCTCGAGCATAAATCATCAATCTCCAATCCCCTGGTAAACCTCTTTTGCCAAGTAGGGCGCGAGTTAGTGGCCACTCTCCACGCAAAATTCTGTACTGTCGGAGGTACATCACATGACCAGATCAACTTCCAACAACTCCTACTCCCATCAGGTCTAGAACTAGAGTTAGTGGACGCCTCTGTGTGTGCCTCATCGAAAGCCAAATTGTAAGCACTCTTGACCGAGAAAATTCTGTAGTTACCTGGACCCCAAGCGATCGTGTCCTCCTCTAACCTTGGAGAGGCTCAAATTTTGAGGATTTTAGAAACATTTGCAGGCAAAAAATATTTCTGAAGTAGTCCATGATCCATGCCCCGTTATCATTGAGCAGTTCAGACACAAAACATATTCGACATCTACCCTACACCATGATGGGCCTATATGAGAAAGGCCTC